TCTCTCTCTCTGAGTGCATTAGACTGCATTAATAACTGCATTAGCCTGCATATCAATGGCTCAAGCCTCTGTTATTAGCTCTAAAATGACGTTTTGGAATTTGCAATGGAAGGGTTATGTAAAATACGAAAAAAATTTGTTCAACACACACGAGATTTCAGGACGGAAACATGACAAATGTCTTGAAATAAATCATCCTAACAATGTCTTGATGTGTGGTTGTGACTCCAGACCGTTAAAATTATTAGAGAGATAATGCACTCCTGAAGTTGTTATGTGGCCACGACGCTGCACCTATTAATGGTATGGTCTTTCTCAGTTCTCAAACTACATTCGATTTTTATTGATTAAACGCAAGCGCTTATTGCGATAGAAAACACTGTAACGGTTTCTACTGATTAAGAAATATTTTTGTTTGCTTGGGTGGTAGCTAATGTTAGGCCTATTACATTAATAGGGAAGGGGGGCCCAAAAATGTGTTTTGCCTATGTCATGAAAAGAGGTAAATCCGGCCCTGTATATACACACACACACACACACACAGTATATATAGATAGATACAGTATGTATATATATATATATATATATGTGTGTGTGCATGTGTAAACAAAAAATGAACTAATTTGCCTACACTTTATCCATCTTAGGATGAGGAAACGGCCAGAAGCGCCCAGCATCCGAAGAACAATCCGGCCAGTGGAGGGTCTAGGCGAGGGCTCATCCGGAGCAACAGGGGGTTTAAAGAACTCGTCCATGCCGGCAAGTGGACTGGCCAAGGAAGGGACAGACAAGCGACCGGTCAGTGCTCACAGCGTCCTAAACTCCATCACCCGACACTCCTCTCTGAAAACTAAGGTAGAAGGTCCTCAGCTCCGCAAGTCCACGCCTGCAGGGCGATCCAAGAGTTTCAGCAATCACAGACCACTGGACCCAGAGGTCATCACTCAGGTGGAGCACAGCTCACAGGTACGACAAACCCAGAATCTGCTAATTTAATTCAGCTTGACACTGCTTTGATTGCTTTAAAAGTATTATTTAAATTCAGAAATATTCTGACACTCTCAGTTTTATACAAACTTACAATGAATAAGAATGGCACACGTGTAAACAGACAATCCATTTTCCACTCCGAAAAATAGTGCTGAGCTCTTCAGAGGAGTGTCTGTGTTTTTTAGAACGTCCTATTTATCTTTCTTTGAGCTGTAATTTCACGGCTGGATAAAGGTCCAGAATCGATCCTGGCTGTGGTTGTGTGTAATTGAGTTGGAGTTCCTGCAGTCCAGTCATTATGAGTGTGTACTTGCTGCACAACAGATATCAGAAGCGAGTGACCTTAGCTAAAGCCAAAGCTACGGATGTTGTCTTTTTGAAAAAGAGTGAAGTGCTGGAGAGTGGCACTAAACTCCATCAATATGAAAAAAAAAAAGCCAGATGACAGTAATGTTTTTGAAATTGCAGCTACAAAAATAATTCTATATATACACTGCTGTTCAAACGTTTGGGATCAGTAAGATTTTTAATGGAGTCTCTTATGCTCATCAAGGCTGTATTTATTTGATCTAAAATATAGAAAAAACAAACATTGTGAAATATTGCAATTTCTAATATTGGTTTCCTGTTTTAATATACTTTAAAGTATCATTTATTTCTGTGACGCAGCGTCTTCAGTGTCACATGATCCTTCATAAATCATTCTAATATGCTGATTTATTCTCAGTGTTGGAACTGTTTTGCTGCTTTTTTTTGGAACCTTGGATACTTTTTTCTTTCATTCTTTGATGAATAAAAGGTTAAAAAAGAACAGCATTTATTCAAAATAGAAATCTTTTCTAACAATATAAGTCTTTACTATCACTTTTTATCTATTTAACGCATTCTTGCTAAATAAAAGTATTAATTTCTTAAAAAAAAAAAAAAAGAAAGAAAAAAATACGGACCTCAAACTTTTGAATAATAGTGTAAAAAAAATTATATTTTGACTAAACACTGTTCTTTTTAACTTTTTATTTATCAAAGAATCCTGAAAAAAGTATCACAGGTTCCAAAAAATATTAAGCAGTACAACTGTTTCCAACATTGACTATAACATTGACTACAGGATATTAGAATGATTTCTGAAGGATCATGTGACACTAAAGACTGGGGTAATGATGCTCAAAATTCAGCATTGCTTCATATTGTATATTAAAAGTATATTAAAATAGAAAGCTGTTACTTTAAATTGCAATAATATTTCACAAAATTATATATTATATTAAATATTAAAATTATATATATATATAAAATAAGAATTAGAAAAAACTAAATTCAAGTCTTTTATTGTTGTAAATACAGTAAAATAACCCTTTTTTATTAGAAAAAAAAAACAGATAAATAATTAAAATTAAAATATAAAATAATTCAATGATGTTTTTTAAATTGTTTTATATAATATACATTCACATTTTCTCATTTTGTCTTTCAGGACATTGAGGTGACTATGAACACGGCTCTGAGTGAGCTGCGAGAGCTGGAGAGGCAGAGCAACGTCAAACACGCTCCTGACGTTGTGCTTGACACTCTAGAGCAGCTGAAGAGCGGAGGGGCATCTGACCCCTCCAGCCCGCTTCATTCCCGCCTGCTCCGTGAGGCCGACTCCTCCCAGCATCCTCTGCAGCGCAGCGCCAGTTCGGCCAGCGACATGCCCTCCACCTTCCGGCCCGGCAAAACCTCGGGTCCCAAAAGCCCTCTGTCGTCAATGTCTACAACAGGTCTGTCCGCTTCCGGCTCCAGCTTTAGAGATAACAAACCCCCAGCCACCAAACCCAAGCCTGTGGTGTTCCCAAAAAGCAGTTCGGCAGGGGGCAGTCCGGCGATGGGATCCCCAACCACCACCATACTGCCAACACCACCGCCCCCTCCACCATCCACCGACAAGTCCTGCCCCGTCTGAGGGTTTACAGCCTCGATCTGTGATCAATTTCTTAGTAATTCCAAGAGCACCCTCTAATACTGACTCTTTGGATCTTCATGAAAAACTGTGGACAACTTAACAGACTCCAACTGATATTGGATGCTTGCGTGATTGAGCATGAGTGTGTGTGTATGGAATTAATATACACATGTGGAATATTAGAGTGATTTTACAACACTGTTTTAGTTTAGATTGAGACATGGACATCAGCAATCCCTCTTTTCTAATCCCAAATTAGTGGTTTGGAGTTTTTTCGACTGATTTTATAAGGGGTCAGACTTTGAGGACAAACGAGCAGTTGGAAGTGCTTTCTGAGGACACATTCTTCCCCTCGGACTTTGGTGCATCTTGAATCAGGTTACAGACGGCGCAGAATCTCAGTAAATAGAAACAAAATTTCCTGATATGAATTTGCCGCTCCTTGTCACATAACAGCATTACATCTTGATCCAAATCTGTCTTTTACTTCAGATTCTACAAATCTGTTATACAATAATCAGTAGTTACAGTTCATATAATCCACAGTTTCTGCTTAAACACACCAATCCTAAACACACCAATTAAAGGAATAGGATCATCTTTGCATGAGGATTCACAAGATATTTGCATGGCAAACGTGGATTCCCTAACAAACAGATTCAAAAGCACTTCTGACATTATTAACAGTCTTAATATGTGGTTTTATTGTACTATTATATCAGAGGGCACATAAAAAAGAGATTGATGTTTTGTATAAGTTTAATTATCATGATTATAACTGGAAAAAGTGATCTAAAAATGAGGAATGTCATGCAAGCACATTATTTCTTCGTCGCCCATGTATAAAAAAACAAAACAGATAAAAGAAACATGATTTTATTTCATTTTCCCTAGGTCATTACTCACCTTTGGGTCTGTATCATGGTATCTATGTATTAGTATGTGTGTTTACGTACAGTATGTATATTCTGAATCTTAGCAGCCTAACAGCAGCTTTTAGAAACTGACGATGCAAAAAAGGGAAAGACTTAAAACAGACCAATGGCGGATACATGCAAAAACGTAGCTTGCTTTCCTCCGTTTTTCCAACTCTGAAAGGATAAGCGTGCAAAAAGCCTCTTTAAAAGTCTGACAATCTTCATCACACGGTCTGCCTGATTATGCCTTCGGACAAGTCTGTATTTTCCTAAGCGAGGCCTTAATGTCCTAGAAAATGAGTTGTGGTGATATGCAAAAGTAGCCTACTCCACTTTGAATTGTATTGCCTTACAAGCAATGACTGTGACTCCTGGAAAATATCTACAGGCAGACTGAGATGTTTTTGACTGAGGCACCCCCCCCCCCCC